GCATATAATGTGGTATCTACTGATATGAGGAAAGTCAGCAGCATTTACTGAATGTTCAATTCAGCTTACAAGTGCCTCTTCCCTGTGAGCTTCCCCCTCCTACATGGCAACTTTGTGGAGGGCTGTTTTCCCAAGGGTTATGCATCCCCCATCTCTGACCTGGTCATTCTTCCCAATTATCATCCATTTCAGACAGTCAGCAGGGCAATAGCATGTGTGCATCAAAGACCACAAAAGGAACTTGGATTATGAGGAATAAAAAATCTGTCCAACATGTGGCACCATTAAAGAACTCTGGCTGAGACATATTGTTTATAGTCAGCAGTTGTCTGGAAAATAGATGTTTACTTGTAGTGAGTGTATTAAGATCGTTGCCATTAGGCACTATATATCCTGCATCTTGTGTTCTCTTTTAGAAAACTATGTTGGAATAAACCTTTAATTAGCCATTCCTGTGGCAATGGAAAATAGTAAACAGCAATATTGTTGTATATTGGCATTTCTGCTTATGAGAGAGAGAGGGAGGGAGGGAGAGAGAGAGTGCCAAACAGCAGGAGTCTTTTTTGGAAGGATGGCTTTTTAAAATGGTATGTTCTGTTTAAAACAGCAAGTGAAGTATTTCCTAAATAGAGATTAAATTACTTAGAGAAAAGATGTTCCTAATATTCAGCAAGAGCTTAAACACACTGGGTTTCCCGAACCATCCATATTCAGATGAAATGGTGTACTTTAGTATGACAAGGTGCATTCTTTGCATCAGACTTGCTCATGTCTCTCATGAGTTGCTCTGGTCAATGATGAGACTAGATGTTTCTCTTGCATGATAGGGACCTTTTTATGCACAACTCGTCTAGGACAGGGACTGAGCAAAACAACACTACTGTCTTGTCTTGCTTTTGACACATAACAATTTTCTCCCTCTATTTTCTTAGCAAATCAACTTGTGCCTGCCCCTCCATACCATCAGACAAATGGATAGCTTCAATCCTTTAAAATTCTGGATACCATTACATCCCAGTGCTAAAAAAACCAATTCATTTATGACAAGTTTTGTCCACGATTAAGCCAGTGGATACTGCAGTCTGGGCAGCCCATTCTAGGTATGTGCGTATCTTCGGGCAGTGTGCAACATTTTCTAAAGCTTGGTTCCCTTGTATGTAAAGTGGGGCAGTCATGGTTACTTCATAGGTTTATGAGGAGAATTAAATTTAAAAAAATAAATGTAGAGCACCTAGGACAGATTCTAAGAGATAGTTTGTGCCCAGTCGGTGTTAACTGTTAGGATGAAAATATTCAGTTAGGTATAAAGAGGTTGATCTCTAGTGCTTTTAAAGCTTGAATGATGGCTACTGGCAGATGCAGTTGCCGAATGCCCCCTCCCACCCCCCACCAGCCCAGCCCTTAGTGGGGACTCAATACCTATTTTTTGAGTAAATGAAGGACTGCCAGAACAAACTCCTAGATGTTAACTCCAAGATCTAACAGTCTAACCAACCAAAATAATTTTCCCAGATTATATACTTTACTTTTCTTCATCTTCTATTTTTCTCTCTAGAACCCACCATTTCAATAAAAGGCAGGAAAAAAAGGTTGCATATTTTTCTAGAGCTCTCTTAAGCCAAATTAACAAATACTTATTGAGGGCAAGACAGGCGAGGTGAGTAAGGTCAGGAAAAATAATTCTCAGCGCGGTTTCTAGAATGCTGCTCTACAAATATATATGACATGGTAAAAACCTAAGACAGTGGTTTGTATTTATTAGTTATTTTCAGTTTCAAATGATCTAAAGGCATACGGTGAATCCTTACCCTCTTGTCCTGATTTGCTCTTTCATTCCCTGCCAAGCACTCATTTCCCAATTTATGCTCACCTGGACTATTCCGACCTGCTGTCACAGTAAGAAAGATTCCTTTCTCAGTTGGCTCGAGGGGGATCTAAAAATGACTTTGGGAGCCTCTTCGATTAACTCCCTCCCTCCTTGTGGGACCCTCCTCTACTCAGTAATGTGGGTGTTTGGAATTCTGAGCAGAACTGCAGGAGATGGACTGAATAAGGGCTTCTGCCATCTATTTTGCATTTCCTAAATAGCACATTTTGCTTTTTCCCTATAGTATTTCCTTATTTGCATGTTTCCACAGAACTGTTTAATATGAAAGTTTTGAAAATATCCTGGGATTATAGTCTTTGAGTGAACTTTTATGTCCATAGTATAAACCCTTTTGGCTTAAAACTATCCCACTTAAAAACATCTACTTATAGCTACCAGCTGCTGTTTCTTTTCATACCGACGAGTGCACAGATAGACACAGAAAGACACACTTGTGTGCACACATATACACAGAATGCACACACCCTCTCTCACATGCACTATGTATATGTAAATATCCAGAAGAAACAATGTATTGTAGAAATTGTCCTCTTGATTTTGTAATCCAGTGTAAGTTACTGAGTGCTGATAAGTAAAGGAAGTTCAACCAGACAGTTTAATCCTCCAATTTCCTGTCTTCTAATCAGCCCCTGATTCTTTTGGTTTTAAATTAGAAACATTCCTGACAATATTCAGGACAGGTGAAGGAAAATCTACTAGAAAATAAGGACAAAGCATTTATTTTACCGTCTAAAGTTCACAGGAGAAATATGAGCATAATAACAGGAAATCAAGATTTCTAAAAAGATAGTAGGAGTACATAGGCTAGTTTAAGTAACCAATCACATTTTTGAATGAAGTACATTTGTATCATAATTTGATTTAAAGGAAAAAATAAGAACATAGTTTAATCTACATGCCTCTCCCGAAGCATAGTAAATGGTACTTTAAAAGATGTGTAAAGCTAACCTAGAAGAAAATGATAAAGATAATTTCTTAATGTATGTAGGAGAAAATTTAAAATGAGAACTACTTCATTCAGATTTTGCTTACAGTTCAAAATTGCTAATACTGTGAGAAAATAATGTTTGGAGTATACAGAAACTTTTCAAATGAATGAGAATTCTTGTAAACTAATATAGTCACACATTTTTATAATGGTAGATAAAATAAGACAACTGTGTATTTAAAGTAAGCACATGTAAACTGTACAAATGCTTGAAATAGAATATGTATAAATATGTTTATCATGGACACTTTCTTTTGAAAGTGTACTGGGTACTGAGAATATGATATGATTAATTATTTACAGAATCCCCTCATTTTGATTCTTTTCATTTATAGCCTATGTAACAATTTCCAAGCAATTTTAATCACCATGATGAAAGAACCAGCACAAATCTTAGAAAAACCTTTATTAGAATGTCCTCAGATGAATACAGAAGACAATCACTAACAAAATTGTTCAATTGAAAATTAACATTTTAAAATTAAAATGATAAATACAGTTTAAGATATAAATCCAAGCAAATAACAACAAAATTGTTTGCATGAAATATGAGTTCTTAGTTTTGTGCCTGCAGCAGTTAGGGCTGTCAATCATTTGGGAAGTAGATAGAGTTGGGAGTTTTTGTTTTTTGAATTGTTGAAACAGTAAGACAGTATTTCACAGAATTACTTTGCTAATTTAACATATATACGTTTATATCCATATCTATATCTATCTATATCTATTTATCCATATTTAAAAGGCATTTATGTTATCAGGCATAGCATATATTTCCTGCCCAAATATTTTCTTGTTATACAAAGTTTGAGTTGTAAAAATTTGGATTAAGTCATGGATACTTATTGATTAAAAAACTATATGGCAATTTCTAAAGAAAATGCTTTCAAAATAAGTGCTTGGGAACCTAGCATGGGTTAATGGGGGTAGCAGGATAGTTTAATAGCCTTCATTTTATAGTCACTATAAGTTTTTAAATTGGATCACAGAAGCAAGACAAGTGTATTTTGTAATTCACATAAAAATAGCCCTGTGACACCTTGTTATCAGCAAATGATTAAGAAGAGGAGAATGCTTATTCTGCTTTCATTTTAATGCCATGTGGGTGGAATGAAGGTAGTTCCACTGAGCAGAACTGTATTTGGAGGCATAAACACGCATCCAGGGTCATTCCATTGCATTTGGCATGGAGGAAAACTTCATGCGGGTTTTCTTTTTAGTTTTATGTCGGAAGATTTCAAATAGAGATGTCACAACATAGCTCAATGAACTTGATATGTGATATCTATTTCTTGATTTGCATGATTAAAGCATTATAGAGAAGTGGCTCAGATATCAAAAGATTTCTTATAAGTGGCAGCGCCAAAGGTAATTACTGTTAAAATGTACACACTTGTACCCTGGTTGCTTGTTAACTTCTAAGTTGTTTACAACTCCAAGGGTTGGAATAGAACTTTTCATTTGATTTTTAGATATTAAGATCCCTTTCTCATTCCATTTTGATATCAAAAGTATATTTAGCATATTTTATAACCTACATCCCTCAAAATGACATTAGCTTCAACCAAAAAAAAAAGCCATAGAACACATAGAAAGCCCTTCTTAGTATTCCAGATTTTAAGCCAATTGCTTCTTAAACAAAAGTAGCCCTTTAAATACAAAGCTAAAATTTATACTTAAAAAAGAAACCCGATTAATTTAGTCAACTGATCTCCAGTTAGTTATCCAAAAGTGCAGTTGAACTCCTACTGTAAGCCCAGAGCATTATGAGAGGGGGTGGGGATGGAAAGGGGAACAGAGAAGTGAGAGGAAAGAGAAGAGAGGTTGTTATTCTCAGTCTTTTATTAACCAGTTTCTTTCATTCTAGTGGGTCTTTATATTTTAGAAAAATAAGAGTGATCTGGGGCTCTATTCATTCTTACCTAAAATTTTGGAGTAGGTAATAACTGTCTGCAACCTGGTCCAACATATGCCTCCCAAACTAAAACAAACAAACTCATTTGCCATACAAATTGTTTACGATTCATTAAAAAGCAAAATTGCATATCTCGGTGCTGGCAGCTGAGGCCGAGCCTCCGGGCGGGCGGAGGGGGCATTCACTGAGTTGCCTTTGTATGCTGGGAGGACCAAGCCGGAGGTTCCCACTATGCAGCCCGGAGTCTGTGCAGCCAGATGACGCATGAGGTAATTTTAAAGCTTTATTTGCCTTTAGTGTGAAACTCAGAACTTGTACTATCCTTTGGCTAAAGAACCACATCCGTTGGGGGGCAAGTTTAAATTTTTTTCTTAGTTGGAGAAAATTGTTAGGGGTAGCAAGGTGGGGTTATGGGGGGAGAGGGAGTGAATACTCTTCTAGGAAAGAGAAGAGCTAAGAGAAATGTGAATTTTGTCTTATTTTCATTAATCCTCTCCTCCTTCATCAAAGCTCTCAATTCCCTATCAATAATGAGAAGTTTGCATTAGAATTATTTGTAACTGGCAGATCTAGAATGCTGTGCTATGTGGTCACCTTTGTGGGAAATAAAAAATCAACTTATTCTCCATGGGAACTTCTACAACTTCTTTAAAGAGCGCTCTGATTTCTCACCCCTTTTCAAAGCAAAGATCTTGAAGCACTGAAGTTGAGAGAAACTTCCTGTAGTATGCAGTCTAAACAGCAGCATGTGAGCTTATAGCATTGTTTATTTTTAGTCAACTGCATTGCTAAATGTTTCCACCACTTTTATATTTTATATTGCCAGTGGTAAAACATCTGTAAAATACTTTTAAATGAAAAGCAACTTCCAAGTGAACTTTACCAAAAAGGAACGACAGTTTTCCAAGTTAAAAAATGAGGAGCATTTTGTGATCTTTGTAAGAAAAAAAATGACACGATTTGCCATAAAAAAGTAACAGTCTATAAAATCTATGAGCTCTTGAAATATAAGTAAAATGTCGCCCAGAATATGACATCAGCATGCAGTTTTTTTAAAGCTTACAATTTAGCTTAGAAAATAATAGCTAAACCAATCAGTATATCCATTTCTAGTGTTTAACAAGCTGCATAAGACCAAGCGATAGGCAACATCACAGCATACAAGCAAACCTTGTTCTTGCTGGCAGAAACTCTAATGGGAAAATAAGTGCCCTGAATAAAAGTTCAGGATCTAAGTGGATAATCTACTGCTAGTCTAATTAAGCAAAAGCTGAAAGTAACATTGTCCTGAAATCACCAGTAAAGTTTCTATGCCTAGTTAAGAAATTACAAGTTAAAACACACATATACAACATACCCACGACCACCTTAACTCAAGAGTCCTTAGGATGGACAATCTGTACCCCAAGAAGCAGCCGAAAGAATCTTGCAGTAGCTCACTTTTAATAGTCTTTCAGTCCTCAGAGTTCCTAAAACTTGCCAAAATGATACCACCATTGGTCCAGGAAGGGAAAGAACTCTTTCCGTAGATGATACAATGAAACTGACCAAGTCCTGTCTTGTAATTCCATTCGCCAGTCTCCCCTTCAACACTACTCTCTCTCTCTCATTCTTTTTTTTTTTCTTAAACTGATATCTATGTGAAATGAGCTGAAGTTCACGGTCCAGTTAGGAACGGATAATACATTCATTGTCCTGGCAGCTAACTTTTTTTCTATCCCTGGATGAATTCACGCTTGCAGCAAGAATAATAATTACGGAAAACAAGAAATGCACTGCTAACGAATTAATCCTTAACGGACACCACCCTAACGAGGGCGGTAATGATTTGAGGACTCTCCTCCTCACAGGACTTGCATCTCCCATGACAATAAGCTATTGTGCATCCTCCCAACTCACTCTACCTCTTATAGATCCAAGATGTCAAAGGTTGTCTGGCCTGGATGACCATGACATGTGAGTTAACTCATTCTGTGGCTGCATGGTGGAACTTGATTAAAACTTTATTTGTACCCAGAGTAGCTAAAAGATAGAATGTGTGGGTCTTTTCCACTCAGAGCTAGAGTTCCTAAGAGACTTAAGACCTGCTCTGACATAAATAAACAGGGATAAGTTAGATGAGAGCTATGGGTCCCCAGATGGAAAACAGGGAGTGGGCACTGAGTTCTCTCACAGGTGACTTCAGTCAATCCAATTAATGGGGCAGGACCGGAATTCACCCAGGGCTTGCTTCTACCCAGCACCCAACATGCATCCTCAGAAAATACCTCAGTGAAAGAAAAACCACGCACTGTATAGTCCCTGAAAACAAAAGTAAAGGGAATGTGAAGCTACAAAGAGGGACCAAAACCTGATGGCCAGGACAAATATTTTATTTTATTTTATTTTTTACCCCAAGATGGGTTTGGCTAAAATACCCACCTCCACCTTAAAACTTCTGAGACTCTTAAAGAAAAACCCAAACCAAAACCCAAGTAAACAATAACTCCCAAGCACTGTCCCATGGAAATCCAGGGCAAGTATTCCTGGGAACTCAAGTCGCAGAGTGGCAGAGAGAGGATGGCAAGAGGAAGCAGTGTGAGGCTGCCTCACTGAAGAGTGTGAAAAAAATCAAATGTGAATTTGATGAATGTGAGGTCTGGGACATTTTGTCAAAGAGGGAGGGAAAGTAGAAAAGAAAAAAAAAGCAGTCCCGGCTGCCAACTCACCATCCACCAAGTTCTGGCCGAGATGTCGTAGCAGAGCTGCCATTTGATGGAGCCGTCGGAAGCTTTCCCTGCCATTACGCTGTCAGCAAGCTTCATCTGATGCTAACTCACGGGAGATAAGACACCTAATTGAGAAAACATTTGCAGTGGCATGTGGGGCAACATGTAGTCCGGTCCATACCATATGGAATCATGGGTAAAAAAAAAAATCTCCTTGACAATGAACCAATCTCTCACAGACCCAGTGGCAAGGTGAAGTGGAGATGAAAAGTCTTCTGCTCCTAGCACTGTCTTCTCTCTCCTTTTTCAATAACAAAAACCTACTGCTACACATCAAAGAGGCGGTTAAAATTAGGGCTTCATCACTCAGATGATTTTGGTCTGCAAGGTTTTTCCTTTCCTTCCAACAACCAATCCCCCCCCCCCCTTTTTTTTAAGGAGAATAAAGAGATTTAATAGGACAAAGGCAGGTAGTGGACTGCGGAGGGAGATCGCCACAGGCTATTAGCCTAAAATTTCTGCTTGACAGATGGAACTGCTTAGAGACTATCATGCGATGTTTTGGGCTTTTTTTTTTCCCTATCCCCCCCTTCTTCGACTTTAAGTCTGATTCGGTGTCTGTTTTTCACAGCCACTTTTCTCAAGAACGTGAGCTGTGCATTTAAAAAAAAATGTTCAGTTTAGTTTCTCTGTCTTACACATCTCGTTGAAAGCAAAGTGAAAAGTCTAAAACTAAATCTGGGAACAGGTTTTCCAAGGAGAAAACACACACACACACAAAACCCTAAGGAAAAAATATTTCTCCTTCCTTAGCTTATTTTAAACAATTTAATTCATTAGTTAATTTGGTTGTGAAGGAACATAAATATGAGAAGACAACGTTCAAGTCCCCTGATTTTTGGTTTCGGCTGGCGTTGTATTTAGATGTGTGTTTTAATGTGAGGAAATACATTACTGATATTTTATAAGTTATAACCTGGGCTAAGCTAGGCACTTTCTCTAATTTTGGTGTCCCTCTGTTTTGTAAAAATTAATTCTGTCTTTTTCCACTCTTCGTACATCAAATGGTCAGTCTGGATCAGTTCACTTTAACATAATTCAGGCTAAATTTGACATGAGTACTTATTCAGGGAAAATCATATCTGATTTCCTTACTGTAACCACGCCATCTATATCACAGGGGTTTTCACCACACATACTCTCTTTACCAGAAAAAATAAACTGTAACATGGACCTACCAATAAGAATGGCTATAAAAAGGAATTTTAAGTGAGAAGAAGTCCAGGTAACTACTGAATTTTAAGTCATTTTACTTCAGGACCAAGGGGAGCAAAAAGTAGAGAGAATGCCTGGTATTTATTATATTTTATTTGTTTAAACTGTGTGAAATTAGAAACTGCAGAAACACCTTTATAAGAGCAGTGTACCAAACACATTTTAATTTTTTTCTGAATATAAACCGTTCCTTGATCCCCAGGAACCTAGCAGTGCTATCACCTTCTCTAGACCACAGGCCTTCCATACAGGCACTGCAGAGTGTGGGAGAATTTATCTCTTGCCCTTTTCAGGGCTATATAGAACTGTGGCTATTTATCAAGTTGTGCATTAATGACTTAACTATCCAGTGGATTTTTTTCTAGTCACACTTTTGACTGAATAATATTTAGATAAACTTATTTAGGACACATTTTAAGTTTAAAGAAGGTTAAATTTGGTGGCTTCAGCTTTCCTATGTCTGACCTCTTCCTCAGTAGGTGTTATTTTAACCATTTAGCATCAGGTAAATAGCTGTTTGGACAAAAATAATTTCAGTAAAGCAAAAGTTATCCATTTGCACCTGAAATGTTTTATAATTTAAAGTAAGATGCACAGACTGCTTCTACACTATAAACCACAAAGACAATAAATAGGGCATTTATTTCTTTCTTATCCCTCATTGTAATAGGATTTCTTCTAATAATGTGGGGGTAGGAGACTGTATTCAGAATTATCATCAAATATGGATATTGTCATTACTCTTAGAAGCATCTTTGTATTCTTTATTACTCTGGCATCTCTTTTCAGAAACAGAGTCTGCATTAGCACAGGAAATGTTAAGTTGTCTTCAGTGTCTAAAAGCAAATGGCCCTTCTGCCAGGATCTTGTCCTGAGCTTGCCAGTCAAATCGTCTGTTGCTTGGTGTAACTGCAGCGTTTTTAAAGTGACCTCGTCTTTCTTTAGTTTACTATTCAGAGAATGAAAGGGGAAAAAGTTGGAAATTCTATATAAAATGTAAAATAGCACAAACCAAAAAAAAAAAAGGAAAAAACAAGAAGAAATAGAACAGTTTTCTGTCTTTGAATCAACTTCCTATTTCATGTTATCTTTTCTTAGTTGGCTCTGACAAGCAGACAAACCCCAAGTTTCCTTGCTTTATAGAGTTTTTTTTTTTTAGCATTTTCCCAGGGCATAAAGGCACATAGACATTTTGGACTTGTGGGCCCAAAACCTTACAATTTCTGAGTTGGTCCCGCGGCAACCTCTGAAGTTGGAGGTGTCTCTTTTCTGAGCCACTGCATTTC